ATAAAAACAGAGAATTAAAATAATCCAGCTGCAGCACAACTTTTAAACTAAATGCTTTGAAAACGGCAAGTGAAAGTGTAACTCTGGTTTAGGTCAGTGACTCTAGAGGGTCAGTGACCCCCCCCAGTTCTAAGTTACTAAGCTATTAAATCCACTTTCTTCTTTTCTTGTCCCTCTGCAGGGAATCAGCGATGAACCCATTCATCTGAAGATTTTCTCTCCTCATGTCGTTAACCTCACACTGGTTGATCTGCCAGGAATCACTAAGGTAACATTTGCTCCAGCTCCCCAAGACAAGTCTTTGATCATCGTGTACCCCAAGGGAAATTAATTGTACAACACCCTCTTTTAGAAGTTTTATTCATTAAAGAGCACTAAAATGCCTTAAAAAAAAGCTTTACCTTATAAGCCTGGTCAGCAATGTTAATTTCTCCATCTGGTCAATGCTTTTGCGTATTTTATATTTGTAGATGGGTGAGAATTAATGTTTTTCAACCGTGTGCTATGAAAGCCTCAGGGTATCCAGGCTTTGATTCTAGCCTCATTAGTTGGTCCCCCTTAATTTGACAAAGTCTCTACTTTGTTGTCTGACTCAAAACAACGGGTGCTGTGTCTTTGCTTGTAATTGGAATTGCTCCTTTCAGGTGCCTGTGGGGGATCAGCCTAAGGACATCGAGATTCAGATAAGAGATTTAATCCTGAAGCACATCTCTAACCCCAACTGCATTATCCTGGCTGTCACGGCGGCTAACACAGACATGGCTACCTCGGAGGCCCTCAAGGTGGCCCGGGAAGTCGACCCAGATGGTAAGAAAAACCAAATGGGAGCCATGTTCTAAAACTAGTAAAATAAGGAGTATAATGCCCTTTGTGAATGACTGTAATTCATCAGGCAGGAGGACATTGGCTGTGGTGACCAAGCTGGACCTGATGGACGCTGGTACCGACGCTATGGATGTACTGATGGGCAGAGTGATCCCTGTCAAACTCGGCATAATCGGAGTAGTCAACAGGTCTCACAAACATCACACAAACCGCTACTCATAATGAGTATGATTTCATATCAGAGATGAATAGCTCAGTGGAGACGTCGAGAGAGGAGTGCCGCATCAATTTTTAATGCTCCTAGTAAAGGCTAATGTCAGGATCTATTGTTTGTGTTGCTTTATCACTGTCGTGCCATTGAGGGGGAAGATTTAATAAAAACGTTTCAGTCTTCGTGCACATCAATCACCATTAGACTTCTGGGAAAAATACGAGAAAGTACCGTAAAACAGACTTTTTCTCGTAAACATCTTTTTTTTTTCTTTTCTTTTTTTGGTACGTTTGAACTTTTAGGAGCCAGCTGGACATCAACAATAAAAAGTCTGTGGCTGATGCAATTCGTGATGAACACGCTTTCCTGCAGAAGAAATATCCATCACTTGCCAACAGAAATGGAACCAAGTACCTGGCCAGAACCCTAAACAGGTAAAAGTAACGGCACCCTGATGATTTAGACTTTAATGTTTAAATCACACTGAGACGATGGTAGAAAGTTGCATTTTCTTTATCGAGCACCATTCAAAAGCTAGTTGGTGAAGTAGAGCCTGGATGATGTATCTGTTGGCTGATATTGGCCTATTGGAGATGATTCTGTTCTCGGGTTTATGCTGTCCTGTATGTGGCCATATGAAAATTAGTTCTAAAAATAAAAACAAGAAGTGTAAATGATGCTTGGGGTAAATTAAAAGTAGCTTTATTACATAGACGGACAGAATCAGTGGGCTGCTTGTATATTACACATGTTACTTCACATGAATGTAGAACGAAGTAAAGACCAAATTACAAAAGGAAACACAGAGTAAAACACAAAGACAGTTAAAGACATTGCAAATTAAAAATGTGTACCTCAAACACAAAAGTTCCAGGGCTTCAGGTGATACTTAAAACACCCAGAAGACTCCCAGGCTCCAGCGGGAGAGTGTACCACAGCGTCAGACCCAGAATGGCAAACACACAGTTCTTAGTGTTACATAAGATGCCTTGCAGACCTAAAATGAAACTACTAATATGCAGACAGAGCCTCGTCACTGGATAATTGTGATGTATTAATGTGTATATCACTTTAATATTGCAGATGGAGATTATTATTTTATTTACCTGTGTATTGAAATGTGATTTTCAGATTTATAGAGGGTGAGAGCCTCCTCGTGTCTCTCCCTCTGAGTATGTCCCTGGATATGAGGCGGCATCAGTAGATTCACTGCTGATGTACTCTGGAGTTAGACCAGACTTGAATCCTCAATTAATGGCATCAGAACCAGGGTGATGTTTGGTCATAATGTGTAGAGACAAAAAAATGGTGGTTTGAAGGGCAGCGTTTAAGAGTATATAGTGTTGTTTACTTTGTGTTACTGAGGCTTTTTGTTTGTTAACACCATTAGTTTGCGTTTGTTTGCAGAATGTGATCCTTGTCATATATACTAGAAAATGCCCAAGTAGTGCTTCCTCTGTGAAGATGCTGTCTGCATAGATATGGAGCAGCCCTGGCATTAATTACAGGCATCAGCGCATGTTGCTATTGTCCGTCCTAGAAAAGGTAACGCTCTGCCCTTTGCTGTTGTAATATCAGGCTACTGATGCATCACATTCGAGACTGTCTCCCTGAGCTGAAGACACGGATCAACGTGCTGGCAGCACAGTACCAGTCCCTGCTCAGCAGCTACGGGGAACCCGTGGAGGACCAAAGTGCCACCTTGCTCCAGCTCATCACCAAGTTTGCCACAGAGTACTGCAACACCATCGAGGGCACGGCCAAATACATCGAGACGGCAGAGCTGTGAGTAGTAGTCTCTGTGCCACTCCTCCGACCTGCCACATGGTGACGCTGTTGATCCGGTGCAGGGAGAAATGAGCAAAACAGCTGCATTGGTTTCATCATTTAATATGATCCAAATTGTAAGTTGAGGCACGCACAGCCTCTGCGAGGGAAGAGCTGACAGGAGCGGAGGCCATGGGGTTCACATCACAGCTAATATCCCCCCGCTGCTATTTTTCAGGTGCGGTGGAGCCAGAATTTGTTACATATTCCACGAGACCTTCGGTAGGACGCTGGAGTCCGTGGATCCTCTGGGGGGACTGAGCACCATAGATATCCTAACGGCCATAAGGAACGCCACAGTGAGTCGTCAGCTGTCGCACGACGTCATTAGCATCACTGCAGCTTGTCCTCTCACACCTGCGTTCAGTAGTCTGTTGTAAAACAAGATGAAAAACACTTTCTGTCATACAGCTTATCTGTTCAGCACACGTTGCTGACTTGCACTTCCTCCCCTGCCTCCCCGCATTAGGGCCCTCGACCTTCCCTGTTCGTGCCCGAGGTTTCCTTCGAGCTGCTGGTAAAGAAGCAGGTGAAACGCCTGGAGGAGCCCAGTCTGCGCTGCGTGGAGCTGGTCCACGAGGAGATGCAGAGGATCATCCAGCACTGCAGCAACTACAGCACACAGGTAGCTAACGGGCCCGGCGTGCACTCAGCTCGCCTTTGCTCGCGTGCAATCGTTAACGTTCGTGCCGCTTCACCCCGCAGGAGCTGCAGAGATTCCCTAAGCTGCACGAGGCCATCGTAGAAGTGGTCACCTCCCTCCTGAGGAAGAGACTGCCCATCACCAACGAGATGGTACCGGTGCCTTCACTTCTCTTTGCACGTGTGCATTTATCTCCTGCGGTCGGGTTTTAGCAGCAAGTCAAACCACTGTAAGCTGTTTTTATTCTCGCCGCAGGTTCACAACTTGGTTGCAATCGAGCTGGCCTATATCAACACCAAACACCCGGACTTTGCAGACGCATGTGGGGTCATGAATAACAACATAGAGGTTCGTACTCACGTGGAAAGAATAAACACATCAGATATAGAAAATAAAGTGCATGGAAGCAAAATGATGGAGGCAGTATTTGGAAATTAAGAAGCAACTGATTACACTGAACCCATGTTGGTGATATTTAATTGCATCTAAAAGTTCAAGTGATATAGAGCAGGACTGGGTGATCCAGCTCTGTTCAAAACTCACTTATTACCCAAATAATTTCATGCACAGGGTTTTGAATACTGGTCACTTGTGTTTTCAATATGACTCTTTGTGAACTTTGATAAATATTTTTTTCTAATTTAGTCATTTGAGTTTTTCCTTCAAGTCTATTAAATTATTTATATTATAAACAGAATAACTAACAGTGCTACATGATGAAATGTGTTTGAAATGAGCAAAGTGTTTGGTTTAAAACCGAACCCCCTTTTTTTTTTCTCTAATCTTCTTGCCAGTAAATTTTTTTCCATATTTTTTTCTTTCTAAGAAGTGTCAAAAACCATCAACTGTTCAGACGTGTGTTTTTGTATGTTTCTAGGAGCAAAGGAGAAACAGGATGAGGGAGATGCCCGCTGCAGTTCCCAGGGATAAGGTAAAAGAAAGCGACTGTGTTTTCAAACATAACCGTAGCTCATGTGTTGTAACATTTGGTCGCAGGCTGCAGAGTCCCAGCATAAAGGAGACTTGTGCGGCGTTAATCACTCGGAGCGCTGCTGAATGATGATCCGTGAAGCAAATGCTTCGGATAGTTTCCATCAAGGAATTTTATCCCACATCTCTTCTCTCCTCTTGCCTCAGCGTACGACAGCCAGCCTCCTTTTCTTCTGTCTTTCCACATTTCTTCTCAGTGCTTTCTTTTTCCTTCCTCTCCCCCATCCCTGCTCTCGTATTCATGCTAGTCTGTTGGCAAAGGCCCGGCCGGCCCAACTGCGGTGTCTGGCGAGCCCCCTGCGTCTGGAGCAGAGATGGACGGTGCCAAGGTGGGCACACATGCAGCCTGCTGGCTCTGTGCCTGGCTGGCTGCGGGGCTGCTGGTGGCGATGGATGGATGGATGATGGGTGGATGATGGGCATGGTCTGCTGGCATGCACTCTGATCTTTGTCTGCTAATGGCGTGCTCTTATTTTGCTTTCCCTCAGCCTGTGTGGACTTGCACTGACAACCATTGTGTTCCCTGAAGTCTGTTAAACCCAAAGTTTGTCTAACAGAAAAAAAAGATTTCTTTCCCTTTCTAACCTCTTAATACTATATGTGCACTCTTTTGTTTTTAGATTCCAGACATTTTGAGGTAGAGAATAATCCTACCTCTGCGTACCATCTAATTAATCCTCCTTTCTTTTCCTTTTCTTTTTCTGTAAGCTATGCTAACAGTTCATGTTCCTCAGGGAATAAAGCGTGCTGACTTTGGTGACCCCTTGACTTTTCCTCTTACTTATTTTGTGACGTGGCTGGGTTCCCCCTTCATCTGAATTGTAGCAGTGTTGAAATTGCTTCACTTTTTCCAAGCATCCCCCTTAGGTGTGCTTTGTTTTTAATCTTAATAAGCATGCTAACCTGCTTTGATAGTGTTGCCATTGATGTCTGAAGTTAACATTTATACTTGCAGAGCTGTTGGCATGGCTTTTGTCATGTTTTCTCTCTAACTTGTGCATTAACAGCACAAAGACGTAAACTTTCATTTGATTAATCCGGTCTCTTTTTTTAACATGCCTGTTTTGTGTTAGCAGTGCATATGAGTCCTACTTTAACCATCACTTTCTGCAAATGTCATGTAATGATATTAAGGGTTATAGATAGTGGAAAAGCATTTTTATCATTCTTTTTTTTCCCAGGCCCCACCTGCTGGGGTTCAGGGGGAGCAGGACGGCACGGGAAGCTGGAGGGGCATGCTGAAGAAAGGGGAGGAAGCCCCAGGCTCAGGACCCGGAAGCCCACTTAAAGGAGCAGTCAACCTACTAGATGTGGTAACTTAACACTGGCCTTCCAGCGTGGCTCGTATTAAACACGACAGTCTATTGAGGGATTAAAACACTAGCCTTCCCTTTTTTCTTCCCTTTTGCAGCCTGTGCCTGTCGCCAGGAAGCTGTCGTCACGCGAGCAGCGGGACTGTGAGGTCATCGAGCGCCTCATCAAGTCTTACTTCCTCATCGTCCGCAAGAACATCCAGGACAGGTAGGCCCTCCCACCTGCTCCTCTTTTGTTTATTGCCATCAAATCCTACATAAAGAGACCAAAAACCAACACTAAGACACATCTGCTAACACAGCGTGTGCAGCTGAAGCCTCATTTCTAGTATTCCCCTCGTCTGCTCGAGCGCCATTGTTGTCCAGAAATCAGAATTTAAAATGCATCAGTGAGCCGCTTTGTTGGATCATTTTCATAAGCAACCAGAGGCACCGTACCTTATTTTCACTAAATCTCTCACATATAATATCTCTGCCTCTTTAAATGCTCAGTAGTGCGCCAAATGAGCAGTAATCTGTTTGTGAATAGTCCAGTAAATGGGTTTAAAAAAAGTCTTGTCTGAGTAAAATTTATACATTCACTTCTAGAAAACTAATGAGCCTTTTAAAAAAATGAAATTATACACAGACATTGGTGATGGGAAATTGCGGCTCCCCCACTATACTGAGGTGATCCGGTGGTTCTGCTGATTTTGTGCATGCTTTGTTCCGAGGAGGGAAAGGTCGCTACAAATCAATGCAAAGTCGTTCTGAGTGATCACTGTCATCCTGTGATGAAACATTTCTAATCTCTGGGATCAGGCTGTAAACGCACCCCCGTCCACAGGGCACGAGGTGGGGGTCATTGAATGGTTTATGAGGATGAAAATTATGTAAATCATACGCCTTTGCACACACCGGACTTGAGCAGCTGCGAGAATTTTAAGAAAGAAGTGTTTTGCTAATGTTTTTATGTGACGTCTGTATTGGCGGCCTGTTTCTGCACATTTATTTCAGTGGAAATTTGGAAAGCACAGCGACCGACACTACAGGACATGTTGTAAACACCGTCCTTTAAATTCCTCCCTTTCCTCTTGGGAGCAGAAAACGCCCTTTAAAGCTCAGGAAGATTAAATCCATCATATTTAGCTCCTGCTTAAACAGCTCAGTCCTCGGACAGGCATGGCCACCTGGCGGTTTAAAGTCGAGCCACCTCCGTCTGGGGAAACGACGCCATCGCCGGGCCATCTTGCCGCCTTGTTCTCAACCATCTGTTCGGTCTGTTTCCTCTTTCTCTCTCTGCGGCAGCGTGCCAAAGGCAGTGATGCACTTCCTGGTCAACCATGTGAAGGACAGCCTCCAGAGCGAGCTCGTCGGCCAGCTGTATAAATCTGGCCTCCTCAACGACCTGCTGACCGAGTCTGAAGACATGGCCCAGCGGCGTAAGGAAGCCGCTGACATGCTACAGGTAACAGGTTCCTACGTTTGAGCAGTGCTCAAGTTCTCCACAGTGTACAGTCGCTTCAATACTTGTTCACATTTGTCCACAGGCGTTGCAGAGGGCCAGTCAGGTGATAGCAGAGATCAGGGAAACGCATCTGTGGTGAAGGAGAGGGGGGAAAAAAACGCATCCCAGGCTGTTACCTCCTCGTCACACCCAAAGGACCGATGCTCCACGCATTCATCATGTCTGAACTTGAAGTTTTAGATTTGCTACCATGAAAATATTCTGATCTCTGCTTCGGTGTACAGAGCTACTTGAAAGGAGCGAAACTCGTGTTGTTCACTAAAAAAGTGTAGTGTTGTCTGGAGCACATGAAAATGCACTGCCTCTGTTTGCTAACGGTAAAATGTCGCCACCCACGACTCCAGGAGGAACTGAGAGTGCCGCCAAAGGCAGTGCACTTTTCGTTTTCGCCTAAGTTTGGTTAATCAGTATGGAAATGGACTTTTGTGCGATGCTGAAATCAAAGTTTTTGAATCAGTTTTTGGCAGCTCAGCAAAGCATTTAATATTTTGGCTCAAAGTTATATACTCAAAAAAAAGAAAAGTAATGTATTTAAAATATTCAGCTCCTAATTCACAGCCTTTTCATTTAAGAGTAGCTGTCACATGTCCGAAACCATCGAACCTCCATCATCTTAATCTTTGCACTATTATAACTGCACTGTACTGTAAAGCAAGTCCATTAACCTGACACTGTATTACCATCAGAGTCTTTATTTATTACTGTGTTATTTAAATGTGTGGATAATTTCCAGAGCACCGTAGCAGGACGTCATTTAATTAAGTTTACATATCGCTGCCTATGTGTGAAGAAAATTCATGGTGCACTGTGGTTCTGTGTGTGGTTCCCAAAAGAAAAAAATGAATAAAAAGCGGTATTTTACTGCCAGTTAATTGGTTTGAATTCATATGTGCAATGAGTGAGGATTAGTGAAAAGAAAAGAGTGCTTCATTTCTGAGATAATTTAACATGAAAACACACAAACGGGCATAAAAGCACAAGTCTGTTTATTGTTTGTAAAGGCTAAGGGCTAAAAGGCACAAAACTGTGATTACTGAAGTGCAGATCAAGAACGAATTCCAACACGGGCACTCGTGGTGAGATGGCTCCTCTGAGGATATATGTCGACGTTTCCATCTATCTCACTCTGCCCTTGGCCTTTCCTCTCCCTTTGGCGCTGTGAAGTCAGACAAAAATATTCAACTGTTCAGCATGTGTGCATAGATGAATATTTTTAAGTTAAACTGCATAGTTTAATAGGTTTACACCTATTTGAACCTCCGTACGGCATTTTTCCTGCTATGTAAAGCATTAAAATTAAAACAAATAAGCTACTGAAGTTGTAATCATGAATAAATATGAACTGATCCTCCAATTTACTGATCTTAAATTAAAAAAATAAGCAGTATTTAATAAAGGTGTGAATAGACACTAGGTCAAAAAAAAGACTTGATAACAATAAGCCGGATTTGGAGAAAATAAACAGTGTTTAACTATTTAATGCTTATCTTCACCTGCTTGCAGTTATGATTATTTCATAATGTCTTTTAATAGTACGCATGGAGTAATTCTGTAGTTTGCTGGCATACATATTTTCAAGAAGCTAGCAAAAAGATAGCTAATAGCTGAAATTATGATCATTTTAACCTTTTAGCTAATGATGTAAAAAAACACATTTAAAGTACATGTAGCAACATTAATGTATGGATAAAGTGGAATTGTTAGCTGACAATGCAAACTAGCTGGAAACATAGTCCAGTGAAAACGTTTTCAGAGCAGGGGCGGATCTAGAGAAATTTAGTTCGGGTGGCATGGAAATCAAACGGGGTGGCAAAATCAAAGCCATTTCTTTACACATTCAGGTTACATTCTGTAATATGTACTATATATGGTTAAAACAGTGTTTTGCAACCTTTTGCAGCCATGTATTTCACATATTTTGCATCAGACAAATCACAGCACACCACCGAACAAAAATGTCACAAAAAGCATATTGATAATTTTTCCCCGCGCACCAGGCATAGCGGAATTAGCTCAGTTTGTCCACGGTATACCTTTTTTGTTTTCTTCTGACCACTACTCATCCTAGGGCCTTTTTCTGAGTGGGAATTTTCTCCAGGACCCAGGCCAGATTGACTACTTTTTTTCTTTTCAAATATTTATCTATTGCTATTACGCGCCGCGTCGTCTCACAGCATGACTATTATGGATTTTCTTCTTCGTCTTCTTCTGTTTTACTGGCAGTTGGCAACTCATTTAATTACAGCAGGTAGTTGTACTGCCCTATAGTGAAGGAGAATGTAATTGTTCTGATCGCTACTCATGCTGGTTGCTTAGAGTACTAATCAGGTGGAACCAGATAATCTTCCACGGCACATCTATGTGCCGAGGCACAGTGGCTGGGAAACAAGGTTAAATTACATCAAATGCAACACATTTACATATGTTACACATTTCATATAAACATTGTAACTTTCTTATTATCTTTAGCCCAAAATATTTACATATTTCAGTTACATAAAGAAATGTGAATTTAATTTTATGTAGTGTATAGCCTTTATAATAAATAACCATGTAGCCCAATTGTAAGTATAAAATCAAGAAAGCTACACAACAAGAGGTGGATCAGTTAGAAATACAAGTCTAACTTTTTACATTTCACAATCTTTTTACTATTTATTTTTTAATGGGGTGGGCACCTTATGCACATGCCACCACAGTTAATCCGCCCGTTTCACAGGACTTTACACCCTTACTACCTTTACTGTGTTTACAGTTTTTAAAAGGCAAGTAGCATGACTTATTTATTCATTATTCATTACCATTTATTACTTGCACAGCTGCTCTTATTGTTCTATATTTCTTCATATATTCTTTATATATTTTCTATATTGTGTATTTTGTTACAGTTATTTTATTTTTAACTTTAATTTTTATATTTTATTTTATTCTTTCCTAGTTAAATTTACCCTTTATTTTAATTTTCATACTTATTTCCTATCCTAGTCATAGTCTTTTATTTTAGGTCACGAGCAGTTGTCTAAGCATTTCACTGCATATCGTACTGTGTATGACTGTATGTGACAAATAAAATTTGAATTTGAATTTAGACAGGTTTCCAGGAGAAAGCTGCTTCTCTTTAAAAAAAGAGCATAACAGCACAGCTTAGATTTGCAAAGGTGCATCGGAACAAACCACAAAACCTGTGGAACGATGTCCTTTGGACAAACAGTGAAGAGTTTTGCCCATAACACACAGCACAGAAAACGAAAAAGCAGCAAATTAGCACAAACACCTCATACCAGCTGTCAGATGTGAGGCCATCGTGTGAGGCAAGCTAAAGTTTGGCCCAAACTGAGTAACAGAACGGGACAGTGATCCCAAACACAGCAGCAAATCTATCACAGAATGGCTGAAAAAGAAAAGAATCATGTCGCAATAGCCCACGCCAAGTCCAGACCTCAACCTGAGTGAAATGCTGTGGCAGGACCTTGAGAGAGCTATGCATAAATGAATGCCTGCAAACCTCCATGAACTGAAGCACACTGTGGGTGGGCAAAAGTTTCTCCAGAACGATGTGAGAGTCTGATAAAGCCAAACAGAAAAAGAAGGACTTCAAGTTGCTGCTACCAAAAGTGTTTCTACAAGCAAATGAATTATGGGATGTGCACGGTTTTTCACAGGACTGTAAAAGCTTTTTTCACATGATCGTACACAAGCATAAACATTAAAGTATAGAAACTTGTGCTATATGAAAATAAGAGGGACAGCAAGAAAGAGCTGTGATAGATGAAAGGAAAGGGCAAATGCCAAAGCATCATTCTATTAGACAGGGACAAAGGACACAATTTTACGCTGAACACAGCTGGCAAACGATGACTGTGTCCTCACCTTTGATGTGCAGCCGCTGTCTGTTTTGCACCATTGCCCATAAGATCTGATACAGTCATAAAAATACAGGCTGCTTCGACACACAACTCACACTGTCTGTCCTAATTTTTGACATACTAAAAATCAAAAACTGAGAAATGTAAAAGATGAAAGGGAAAGATGAAAAGTGTTGTAACAGGATTTAAGAGAATATAAACCAGAAAAGATGATAAAAATAAATAAAAGAAACTGCATACAAGCCTAAAAAAGGTTTCAATACACAAGAACTACAAGAATTTCTATTAATGAGGTGATCCTTTTCATGTCTGTTTCAAACAAAAACAAGTTTGGCTACGTTTTGATAATTTGTAGCCCAGCTAAGACATCACGCTCCCAATTAATATCATACAGCATTATGTGAATTTTGGAGGCTTTGAGTGTAAGAGATAAGTCACAAGGCCCGAGAAAAAATGTATAAACGACCAAATTCTTTCTGAATAATAGAAATCCAATTTTCCCAGTGGGCCAAATGAGCAACTGAGTTGTGTTGTTGGCTTCACCAATAAACTGAACACAGATGTGCTCAGTGTTAATGTCATGTCTTTATTATAAAAAAAAGAAAAAAGTGAGAATTAAATCAATTACCCACCCCTGGGTTAGATTTCTCCAGGAGTGTTTAATCGAAAGGAAAAAAAAATCACCTTGATACACAACAACACTTTTAAAGAAATTCTAATGATGCCTTTAGTGCAAATATGAGCCACACCTGAAGGGTGGTTCATAGATGTTACTTACCTCTGGCTGTTCTGAACACGAGCCTGGAGCAGAGTGATCTGTAGAGGAAGAAACATGGAGGACATGCTGAGTCCAGGAAAAACAACAGACGCCAGCTGAGCCAGCAAAAGAGGATCTTCTGGTCCTGTGGAGTAACTAGCTAACAGTATATTCTCCTACATAATTTTATGTCCGCATGGCAACCTGTTCTGTGAACAGTCTATATTTTAAACATATTTTAAACAGATTGAAAGCTAATATTCGGATTACTGCTCATGTGTAACTTGGTGAATGTGTAAATCAAATAGTGCTTCCAGACACACAAAAGTAAACAAAGATTTTAGAAAGACTTTATTGCGCCACACTGAATATGAAGCTACTTGCCTCTCCCCTATGTAATAAAACCTCGAATACAGCATCCATGGCAGATACTCAGTTGACAGTTCCAAGTAAAAGATTTGGAAAAA